GTCTCGATAAGAAATTCCTAACATTCCTCTTTCCACGGCTCTCTGTGAATGATACCTGGCACTTTTCAGCCTTAGAGTGTGACATGTCTCACGGCCGTGCAGTGCTGGCAGGACGGCAAAAGCGATTTAAGTGAGTTCTTGTGAAATAGAAATAACCAGTCAGTATACTCAGGGGACTCGAGTCAATTCCGTAAAGTCGCTGTGGCGAATTTCTGTATGACGCTATTAGTGTATACGAGTACATGAGGTTGCTGTCGGTTAACATCTAAACATGCGACCATCACTTACCACTTGAATTATGCGAACCAACTCCTTGAGACACTGCTTCTTTTTCTTATTAATGATAACTGCTGCAGTGAGGTACCGGAGGATGTGAGGGCACAGCGTCTGAACTGGACTCAGGTAGCTGCAAACAAACATGTAACATTATGGAAGAGAATGACTGAGAGGCAGCGCAGCTGTACGTCGAACTTACGCTGTGCTGTTTGGGTTCAGAAATGTCTCCACAATCTCGTCTATACCCTTCTTGCTGTTGAAATAGACGAACAGTCCCCAGTGGATAAACCACGCCCGCTGATGCAAAAGTTCCAATTCGGTTTCGAAGGGCTAAAACAACAAACAGATACAGCGGAACAGTAACGCACATAAACCTATGCTCAATGACGCAACGCTATCTTCAAGAAAAGTTTGCTAAAGAGAAAGGAAATATTGAAAAACATTGCTTTTACGGTCACGTTATGGTAAGGGCTCTGTGTAGATATGCTCTGATGCATCGGTTATTGTATGGCTTTTTCTAGTACGGCCGCAAATGGCAAAGCGAAAGTCTTTGACACCTGAGATGTTTGCATTGCTTACACCTGCATGATCGAAAATTCATGCTGCACTGCATTCAATTATTTCAGTGTAAGGGGCTAATCTTCGTTTCGACTTCATCAACCAGGAACAGATTATTCTGTAAAGGCAGCAAGGACACGATGTAGTCCTCAGCGTTCTTTCGAAGAATAGTAGTAGTGTTTCTTTACATTGACGAAAGGGCGAAAGAGCGAAAAAAAATAAACTGCTGTAATTTGACTGTAAAATAACGTGATGCTAATCGAACAGGGAAAGGTGGTTCAGGAGAAGGAGAAGGAATGATACAGAGCGCTAAACTTTCAGTAGCAAGGCCAATGGTTCAAATTATGGTTAGGTTAATCTCTCACCTTTTGGCGAAAAATAAATAATCACAGTATAGTCAGGTACTAATGGATGACAGCACCGATACATATTGCGCAACAGCATAAACTTTTTGAAAGGGGGCATCACAAATGATCTTATCATGAAAGTCTAATGGAGACCGGCAACTCAGTGATAACAAGCATTACTTTTCTTCACATATACACGTCAGTTTTTATTAAAACCTGCTTTTCTTATGATGTCCTAAGGTGCAGAAAAAAGAAAAATGGAAACTGGATGTGATAGACCAGTGCGTCGGTAAAATAAGATTTTAACATCCACCGGCTTTGTTTCGTACCCTAAACCAAGGATCAAGAAATCAGCTAGAGTTATAGAGTCAAACTGTTTACTTGTGTACACAGAAAACGAAGACTTCCTTTTCAGCAGCTAGAGAAAAACGACTTCCGTCGACTTTATGGATTCAACTCAACATCTGTGACATAAGCCATAGATATCCATATAGTTCTTACTGGACTGCACTGCGCATCCAAATTTCTGGATGGATGCCAGATTGGCAGTGTAATCTGGATGTTTCAAACAAAAGGCTTCCTTTCAACTTCCGCATCTGCTGGTGCAAGAGATGGACAAGGCTGATCATTAACCGTTCGGTAATCAAAACTGTAGGTTTTTTCCGGTATAACTGAATTTCCCTGCCTAGATGACTTGTCAGTCTCTTTAAAAGCAGTTATAATTGAACGTTGGTTGATTCTGGTCGAACTAAAGTTTATAATTTTACTTAAAGTTTAGTGTTGAAACTGACCAAATTTTTGTTTAGAAAAAACTCGTAAAAGGTATGAAAAGAAACTGAAGAATTTCTTTCTAGTTTCACAAAAGAAACTTTTCAGAGACACAAAAAATTCTCTGGTGAACTTACGTTGTTGTCGATATACGCCTTAAGGCGCAATAAGTCTTCCCTAGCCGTGTCCCAGTGCTGCTGAAGAATGGTTGACGCGACTTTACCCCACAATGCACTCAGGTAGTTATTGTGATGCTGCGGTACCTGAAAACAACACAGCTATGGATCGGATCAACGCGAAATTCAGATACTTAAAAATTAAAGCTATTCCAAAAAGGCACCAATCAAAAACAACAAAAAATCACAATAATCGAAAGTTCATTAAAATCTGAAAAACTTATAATCTGCTACGGCTATATCAGAAGTGGTCTTGTTTCTTTATGATCACCAGATATGCACCATACAGCTGTCACGCGATAGTTGCAGGGTACGATAACAATAAAGTGGTAGGAAACTGTTGGTAACGACCACAATTTCAGGATATTCAAATCAATCAGCAAGTGGTACGGTGCTGAAACTTCACGATTTTAAAGCTGTTTACAGAAAACAGTTAACATACAAAGCTATCACCGCGAGTATGGGTTTACTAGCATACTGCTAGAATTCGACACCGCCGGTAAGAATAACATTCTTCTGTCAATTCTACAGATTCATCTCTTCCCTTTGATTCTACCAGCCTAAAAGACCGTTTAAGCGGGACACGGTACAGCGCGTCTACGCCGTGTAAGTCCGGATAATTGACAGAAAAACGTTATTCTTACAGGCGGTATCGAAAATTAGCAACTTGCTAGTAAACCCATAATACCTGAATTATTTATGTTTATACACACCTATGGACAATGGCATTTCAGTAAATTTCTAAACAGGTTTTGTTTGGCCCAGGTGACGCGAATTTGCGTCAATGCATAGAAGGTGCTACAATGCCATTGCGCTGTGGTCCGTTTATGCCGTCCCCTAACCTACCAGAAGCAAGGAGGCTGTGCGCCTACTCTGTCTAAACCCGTAGAATTTATAGGAGAAAACAATTAAATGTAAGTGATTTATAAACTATTCGAGGGAAAACATACATAAGGATGACGCTCAGTTAGTACACAGTAAATCACATGACAGAAGAAACTAGGTAAAGAACTACTGCTGAAGAAGAACTGTTCGTCGGTCAACAGAGCAAACGCTAAACGCCGGACTTTCCAATGTCAAATGTTTACCAGTCAAACTTTCTCTGAGGCGGTTTATCCGTATTTCAGGGCGCTAGATGGTGAAATAATTTAAAGTTTGACTCATTTTAGACCCTGTGGGCTCTACTGTCCAAACTAAGGCACAGAAAGATTAGAGAGACAAAGAAATTTACATGCCGGTTATGAGACCGATTTTTTACCGCGCCGTTGTAAAGTCTATATTACTTAACGTGGTACAGCACAGAGAACAACACCATCTTGGCACGTCCAAATTTAAAGAACTATCAGACGAAATTTCGTTCAGCCTGACTTACCAGCAGTCGATAAAAATACAGATACTCGGAGGAAGCAGCATAATCACCGCAATCGTACTGAAGCTGTGCGAACCTATACAGCATGTCTAACATGTCAGGATGAAACTGAAAGAAAGAGGGATAACAGTCAACACACAACATTTCTTCAACTTACGTCGCACTTCTTCACTAAAAAGTCTAGCAACTGACGACCGTCACGTTCCCTGAAAATGTTTAAAGTTATATCACAACAACACAAGCAAGGAACGACTACTCCAAGAGCAGATTTCAAGTAGCCTTATACAACCCCTTGCTGCTGGTCACCTCGCGCTATTTGACATAGGCGAACGAACAACTTATAATGTTTATGTGGTAACATGTGAGGAACATCAACTCCTGAAACATCGTTCGTAATTAATGCGAGGTGGCATTAGGGTACAAAACGATGCGAGAGGCATTTGGCACTGCAGGTGCTCAAATAGAGCGGAGTCATGATCTACTCAAATGGCCTCCCCGGGTAACCAAGAGCAAGAGACGGTGCAATGCGCAGTGAAATCTGGTTTTAGATGAGTTACTCGTTATTTAACAATAAAAATTACATCAGAAACTCAGACATTAGCTGCCGACCTCAACTTAAATGAAATAATTTTCAGTCAGTAAGTAAAAGATAAACGATTTACAATAGTAAACAACAAGAGATCACTGAAAACCTGAATACGATGCGCAAATATGAAAGAAAAGAGTAAGACTGAAATTTCTGCGGAATATATCTGAATCCTGATAAAGGTTTGTACAACATCTCAAGTTAAAAGATTTGTGTGAACAAAAATATGACTACAATATGCTGTACAGCCCGTTGGCGAAAAAGAGTTGCTCATTCTTGTAATGGCGGCGTTCCCACTAACAGCAGCGCGCACGAACAGTTTATAAAAGCCGGCATTTGTGCATCAAACTAATCGACGATCACGAAGATTCAGAAGCCCTTTAGATCGCACTCGCGCTTTGGCGTCTCTCGATAGAGTGATTTTTTCTTTCGAAAAACAAACAGTTCTGATAAAACTGGTTCAGCAGATATTGAAATTCTTGAGTTTTTTGTTGATATTTTTCCACACGACGATTAACACCATAACTTTCGCGGGACGACTTAACTACATAGACAGCTACATCGCAACCTCAAAAAGCATTATTTTCATTACTGACGGCCTGGTGCGACTTTATTCTTTAAAGGGTGCCCTAAAGAACTGCCGTCGAGAGGCTGATAAATCGAAACGAATATTCAGTGTATGACAGCATTAAGACTTTCACCGTATTAATCCTGGTTCTTATTTATAGGCGAAGTTTCCTATCTTTGTCTTCAATCTGTCGTCTATTTCTGTGTCCGCGAGGCGCAAGGAATCCGTAAAGGTAGGTAAAACTATATAATACCTTCAGAATCGCCTTAGATGACTTTTTGTAGCTGCCGCTCATGTGTAGGCACGCTAGCCGTACAAGCTAAGTGATTCTGCAATCGTTATTACGATGGCTAATCTTAGCTTAAACGAAGATGTTGCTTCCCTTCCAGATCGGCTGTAACCTTGACAGTATCGGCATCGCTGCCGCGATTTGAGCATTAACGTCAGTTATGAACGTCACGCCGCCCCCTGACAACTGTACTACAGTACTAGAGCCTCCGAACATGCTCAAAGTCTTTTCTGTTGATTCGTACCGACGAACTCCCATTCGTGCTTCCGGTCATCGTTGACCTTATTGAGCGTATTTCGAAGCAATTGTGCGCAAATCGTTAACAACGTCTAAAGATTCTTTTCTGATGCTTGAAAGGCAGAACACTGACGTTGGCCAACCGGATTTCCGACCAGATGGCCATCAGCTAATAAAGCTTAAAATCTTTAACAGCTTTAAACTGTTATTTGCTTCGTTAGCAAGTGCTGTTTCATTAAAAAGGCTTAATAAAGAAAATGGTATTATTCGAAATTTTTTGCTTCAAAGAACTGGGAGGATATAACACTGAATCTTTGGCTGTTCCCCATTCCAAACGGTTATTTATGAACATCAGTTATAGAGAAGTGTCCACCAGGCAAATTTTCTCGATATGCTCACAAATCGTTAAAACACTGCTCTCACATGGTGCTACCTTTTGTACCGTATTCGCAGACATGATACGAGACAGCGAGTGCGACTAAAACCGTCAGTTAACGTTTCATAAAACTACTTCTTAAATGAGAGAAACATGTTTCAAGAACCAGCGAAATCTGATGCTGTTTACAATGCAGTATTATGTAACTGACATCGTCGGATAGCAGGACCACCACAAATTTCTCTAAACAATAAGGACGACGTTAAAATGCGCTGTATAAGTCTGCCACGACAACAGCGCATAACACAGGCAACGAGGTTTACGGTAAGCAATTCGCCTGAGCATGTTCCGGCTATCTTCACTGCTAAATACTACTACTGCTACTAAAGACACTGTCCATTTTCTGACAGGTGGGAAGAAACTGTTATAGAATTAAGTAAATACGTCAAAAATAAACAGAAGTTCCACGGTTTGCTAAACATGTCGCATAACCAAACTTCTGTTTCCGTCATGCTGATTACACTCACCTAGAGTTAGATATCTGCTCGGATACTTCATCTTGCTCTAAAATTTTCACGATAGGACCAATCTGGTCCTGCATACTGGTTCGACTTTCGATAACCGCTTTCCGACGTTCGTAAAGTTCTATCAAGCACTATGCGCGCACTGGCCTCAACCATAAACAGTGGTTTTTACCTGGAGGTACTGGCTCCTTCAGTATGACATACGTGTCAATCAATTCATCAACCATACTCGTTCTACAGAGAAATTCCGAGCGGACCTTCAGAACTTCCTTGATGTCGTACATCTGAAACAGATTAAGGTAAACGCTGAAAACGCGAAATGAAACCATACCTTGCGATCTGCCAAAAATTCAAACAGCGGAATAATCAAATGAGGGTCCAAGAAATCCGCCAAACGCCATGTCAAATCGTATTTACTCATTTCCGAACTTCTGCTCTAATGTGATCTCGATGACAACGCAAAATGCACTTTTGGCGACGGCAGCCTTGAAAAATTGATCCGCAAGTATTATAAAATAAATGGAGGTGCACAACTTTGACTTATACTTACCGAAGAAGTGAGCCATCTAGATGAGTAGCGGTACCTACATATAAGTAAAATTCTGGTATGGCAAAACTCTGAGACTATACAAATTAATTTACTGCACTAAATTTTTTTATAATCCAAAAAAATTCTAAACTATTCACCATCTTCATTTTCCATGAGCTCTTCTCCTTTCGGATCGCAGAGGAAGACACGTCATACGATGCTTTCCACGTTCCCGATCCTGTGCCAGAGCCTCGGCTTCCGCAGAAGACAACCGAACTCGAGAGAAGACTCCATCCATATATTTGCACTAGGGTAATTTTGGCCGTCCCCCGGGCCTTATACCGTGGGCTGAGCAAGCAGCTTGCCAAGGCTTCCTTTTTGGAGGCATTCGCAGCAAGCGCCCAGTCCACCCAACCCAAGCAGCTGTGAGTTCTAAATCCAAAGAAACAGCGGCGATACGCCACGGTTCTTGCGAATGTCTGCGCTCCGGACCAGATCGAGACAGTGAAGGACAGCGGCTCGTCACAGGAAAACCATTTCGGCAACTTGTGCCCGGCATCGAAGCTTTTCAGTCATGGTACATCACTCATGACCATAGGTAAGCATGGCAAAAAAGATCGGCTTGAACAGCCAGAGCTTAGTTTTCAGACTGAACTTTGGTGTGGTCACAAAGGATCGAGAAAGTACTATGCCATTGGCTACTTTAATTCGCCGGTCGACCTCATCCTCAAACTGTCCATCATTAGTAAATACGACTCCGACGTACTTGAACTTCTCCACCTGTTCAAGTGTCTCTCCGTTAATCTAAAGATAGTAACGGGTACCAGATACAGTAACCACTAGGCATTCTCATGCATAAGAGCGACGTCGCACACGGCTGCGAACCTTTATAGGGAATAATGATCAGTTTCAGAAGATGATAATAAAACAGGGTCGTCTGCAAACAGCAGCCTTCACGC